TATAATTGTTAAAATATGAGATAGAAATGATGTTGGCGGCATTCGTGTGCAAAAGAGGTCCAGAAGAGAAGGAAGAATGACATTTAATAGCCCTCTCCCAAACTGTGAACAAACTCAAGTCAGAACATTAAAAATATATTTTTTCAAAAGAGAGCTTCAGTTTCTGAAAGTTGGCTGCTTGTGAACAATCGCAAAAAAATTCATGAGTGCTGGAAAAAATCAGAAAGCTAGTCAACATCAAATATCTCGCTTGTTAAGGAATAAGATTTTTGATGGATGTCAACAAGCGATCAATCCATAAATATTTGAGCATCTTCAATGTGCAATGCCAGGCTCTGCCAAGATTCCCATGCTGTGAATGACTACTCAGCATTTGGACTTTTTCTTCTGTGGCCACGTGACTCTCCACCCTCAGCACCTCTTTTTAGTTTTGTCTTTTCTCCCGATTAAAGACCTCATTCCTCTTTACTTCCATCAGGACAGTCTACAATTAAGTTTCACCTTGAGAAACAAACTGCAACAGATCCAGGCCAACATCACAAAGACTGGGGCAAGGAACTTCCCCAAAGTTCTAGTTATATTTTGTAAGGTTCTACTAATGGATCTTCACTAGTCTGAGCATTTGCCACCCCCTTGAACTCCAATTTTATGCTTTTGCTTTGATGCTGAAGTTCTGTTGTTTAGACAGTTCAAGATGAAGACCTAAAATTTTTCCTTTGCATTTTGGTGAGTTTAGTGTCAATTTCTCATTCTCCCACAATCTGCCCCTTTAATAACAACAGGGAGTCCTATCTATACTTATTTTAAAATATAAATTATATATTAAATGCAGAGTGACACATATAGCAACATACCTTTTATGTAATGATTCTCTCCCCCAATGTCCACAACATCCAGGTCTAGGCTAGTATAAAGGCAAGAACCAGGAACGACATCCTGGTCTTCATGGTGGGTAAAGGCATAGACATTTTTGGGCCATTTTCTGTTCTCTTCTCAAAAGCATCAGCAGAGAGCCAGATGAGAAATGGAGCAACTTGGACTTGAACAAGCAGACTGCTATGGACTGCTGGTAATACAAGCAGTGCTACAATGCCAGAACTATAAATCTACTTAGTATTAGGATCTTACATGGAATGTCAAATTCTACAAACCATGCTCAAATGTTTAGTAGATGAAGGGAGACCCATTAAAGATAAACTGGCATATTAACAGTCAGAGACAAAAGTTTAAGAGATGTCTCAAAAATAATATGATAAATTCCACAGAAGTCTCTAGGTCTTTCTAAGGAAAAGCCATTTGTGGTATTAATGAGGAGAAGTGATGGAATTTTAGCTGGGCTCCAAAGAATGGACAGAACTTGGATTAGAGAAAAGGACAGGAAGCCAAGTTACAGATTTCACAGGGAAGACATAAAGTTTGTACAGCAGAGGCGAGCACAGAAGTCTGGCTGTGTTTATGAAGAAGTGTGTAAAGCGGAAGGTCGGAATGAAACATTTCCATTTTCACCTATAGTTTTAGCACTACGGTAATACAGCAAAAGGAAAACAGGATATTCTACTTCTATACACACAGAATGTATAGATCAGTTCAGGAATCAAATGAGTCTTCAGCACTGCCCTTTTAATCAATTTTTGGAATAAAAATTCAAATCGGTGACCCACAAAGACTTTGTTTTTGCTCTCCTAAAACAAGTAGCACACTTTAATAGTATAGTACATGTTCAAAGTTTGAGATTTCAGGGGTAGTACCAACGTCTTGTTCTCAATTCACTGAGTCTGACGTAGGTCCTGGGGAAACTGCATTGGGCAAAACAGGCTCAGAACTGGTCCTGTGGAACTCTCACCAAGAGCTCTGTGATGCTGGGGAAATTTCTCCAAGACCTTAACACATGGTTCATTCACTGTCAATCTGAACCAGCAGTAGTGACCTTATTATAAGAAAATATACTATTTAAATATGAAAGTAATTTAGACATTTAACAGTGTCTATACATAACTTGCCAAGATCCACCCAGTCATCAACAGATAGTTTATTATGTCACACTTTCATATAGTTTAGCTGTAATGTTTCAGTTGTAAATTGTTTTCAATTGGTAGAACGATGTGGAAAGGAGGGAAGGCGACAAGCATACGCTGTGATTAGAAGTACTCATTTCTGCACTTAGTTCTACCATTGACTGTCTGTATGGTCCTGGGCAAACACCTGTACATCAGTTCCTTTAACAAGAATGAGTTTTTGAAAACATTTTTCTATGAACTTGAACATATTTTAATGTTACCTATTTTCTTTATTTTAAAGGCAAAGACAGAGAGGGACAGAAAAGAAGAGTAGGAGCAAGAAGAGGAGAACCTGAGTAAAAGTGAGAGACAGGGACAGAGAACACTCCCACCTGCTGGGCCATTCTCTGTCTACAACGGCTGGGGTTGGCCAACCTGCAGTCAGAAGATAGAACCACCATCCATTTCCCCCACACAAATGGCCAGGACTTAAAGACTTCAACCATCATCCACTGTCTCCCAAGCTGCACAGCAGCAAGAAGCTGGAATGAAGAGAAAGCTAGGACTTGAACCAAGGCACTATATATGCGAGGCACCCATGCCAAGTGGCAGCTTTACTGTCACAAGAAATGCCTGTCTGAAACCCTTCCCACCTCTACTCTGGTGCAAAAACATGCAATGTAAATGTCTAAGAAGTATATAAACTGAAAGTTACTTATTTCCATCACCTGCCATGCTCTCTAGAAAACTTACAATGACTGTCATTTGGATGTATGTAAGAGAAGAAATATGCTCTTAAGTAGATCAAAGAACCTAAGAATTAGTATATAGAAAATGAACCCACTTTTCTCTTTACCACTTCAAGTCCAAGCCGTACAATCTAGAAGCAAGTCTGATGAGTAGCCAACACATCTATGCTATTCTGCACAATCCCAGATTTTAAAAGAAAGAGTAATTATTAAGAGAAAGCATTTAATAACTAAAACTACCAAACATGAGTTGTTCTGCCTTCATGAGTCCATTTTTAAGTTTCAGTGCTTTGGATGGATTGGTGAATGAGGCACAAAGACTTAAGGAAAAGAAGTAGAAGTGGCAGGAGCGTGAACAAGAGACAAGAATTAAGGAAAGAAGACAAAAGGAAAGAAAGCAGGTCTCAATAATGAAGCAACATAAAAGGATTTTTCCCCCTTGGAGTAAGAAAAACTAAATGCAGGGATAAATGAAGCAGATGTGAACAACAGGATAAAGAAAATGCATGCACACAAGAGGACAAAAGAGAGAATCAAAGCAATGATGACAAGATAAAGAGAAAATAGAAAAGAAGAAATAAACCTACAGGGCAGATGTCTGAAATAGATGCTCAATCTACATATGTTGTAAGCAAATAAAAACAGGATATTTGAGAAATTAAAAAAACTCACAAAATTGCTTACTTTTTATTTGCATTTTACATGGATGAGTGGATACTCTTTGTCTATTTTAGAAACCTTATGTAATTCATTTCGGGTATGAGTGATAACTTTTTAACATTTTACGAGTAACATTGTGATACTTGACACACTAGATCACATATCAGGAATTGTTAGGACTCTAAGAAGGCAACATCATGACCCACGAGAAGTCAAGAAACAGGTAATGCAGTTCCATCGGAACACAAGCTTCTTAGTTATTCCATATCTATTAACTGCTCTTTTTGCAAATGATATATCAAATAGTAAGATGTTTTCCAGAATTTAAAATACTGTAATCACCCGGTTTTTGCACAATTCATGAGATAAAGTGCTTTTAGGATATCTGGTCAGCATATATTTTGGGGGTCTTGAGAATTCATATACTGATTTCTTTATCACATACTGTCAAAACTTATTTCCACAAATCTATCTGTAAACCTTGACTGCTTCAATCCAAAAGGCATTTTTCTTAATGAGCTAGAAGTATAAGAGAATAAAAATTCAGAAAGGTTTTCCTTCATAGGTGGTATGAATATTGTACCACAGATATTTTAAAGTAAATGTTAAATAGCTGAAGGTTAAAAAGCTAACATATTTTTACTATCCCATAATTTATCTTGTAAAATGCTAAACTGTCTGTTTCAATGTCCTAGATTACTCACTTTTGAAGAACCTATACATTTACTGTTTTAGTCAGTCACATTTTCACATGCTTTACTACTACATTTAATTCCTGGTGTCCATAATAAGCGTATTGAGAAATTATACAAATCTGTTGAATACATATAACACACAGTCTGTATATCCAGTAGAATATGTCGCAGTGCACACACTGCTGTTTGTGCCCCCTACAGACTTGGAAGCACCTGGGCAGCCCTGGGATAACGATCCCATGCTGCTAGCATTATCAAGTGCAGACATTCCCTGGATAAGAACAGAGCAAAGGACAGTGTTTCCTCTTTACACCATCCCTGCACGAGTTTGGTGGCAATATTTCTTAATGCATGCTCTCCCTCCTTCAGTCTGCCTAGAGAAGTCAGGATAAAGCACCAGGAATGGATGGTTGGTTAGTGGAAAATAACGTATTATCCAGAAAACTCAGCACCCAGGATGATGGCTGTTTGGCTCAGTGCATTATTAAATCAACAAGTATCAGCTCTTAAAATGACTAGAATACATGCATTTTCTCATATGGACAATATAGCAGGTTAAAACATTAAGGGAACAAAACATTAGGAAGTTGGATTGGAAAGTTTTCTTCCTTTTGCATGTATCACCATAAATTTATTTTAAAATTTCTTTAAATAAATATATGACACAGAGGACAGCAGTTACATTGGAAACTTCCGTAAAATGTTAACACTAAAGTAAGAATATTGTGTTTTGTGAGTTTGAACTAAAAACAGAAACATATTTGAATAAACAACCATGGAAAAGAAATGGATAAAATGAAAAGAATTAACAGCTCATTTTATGAAACAAAAAGAATCATTTTATAGGAAATAAAACACAGATAAAGGCAGTAATAAAGGGAAGAAGTGATCTCACTTACTCTGATATACAACTGCATCATTTCTTTCTCCCGTTGGGGGTTTCGATACTTCTCATAGAAATCACGCCGCTTCTTTGTCTCTTTCGAGACTTTATCTTTCCTTTCCCGCTTTTCTGCTGGTTCATCTGAACCGTCGGAAGATGACTGCACGTGAGACTTGAGCTTTTCGACTTCAATATAGTTTTCGTTGGGATTCAGGACTATTACCCCATAGCCTTCCTGTTTGGAAATGGAAGAAAATGTGTAATTTAGCCTTAAAATCAGTTTCTAAAATTCGAATCACTAAAACATTCCACATTCCTTTAGAGAACACTACTGCTTCAATTTTCCCAAAAGAAAATAATTTAAATGTGTTTCCATTTACTACACCTATAAACAACTATTTATGACCCGCAAGAATGGAACTTCAAAAATGACTGAATAACTTATCAAATAATAGGTATACTTTCAAGCCACATATTTATAATATATATTTGGAGGAATATTCAATTTCACAGAGGAATAACAACCTCTGTGAAATTGAATCCTACTGTTCAAAGTACATTTTGTAGGATTTTTACTTTATAGCTGCCTCTTAATGAGCATTTTTGTTTCCAAAGTATAAAACAAAGCAAAAAAGAAAACAAAAGCCCCCCAAAGCAATTAAAAACGAGTAAGTCTAACATTCTGCAAATTTACATATTTATGTCTACCTGTGCACCTTGGATTTTATTCATCTCTTTTCAGGAGGCCAGATAAAGAAAAAAAACAAAATGTACCAATGTTTGGAAACAACTCTTAGATGTCGAAATCTCCTTTTGCAAATGACCATGACAATTTTTACATGTTTACAGGAAACATGTAAATTTCAAACTTTAAAAATACAACCTGATGAATGAAGTATTAAGGCTTAAAATTTAGAGAACACATTTTTCTATCAGATGTATTTCTAGCAATAAAAACATTAATATGCTTACAAATAAGGAAACTTCTCATATTCATGCTATAAATGACTAACAACATGTGGTGTGCGACACAAATTGTTGAAGCTATTATATATCTTATCCTACTATTCAGCTCTATGCTGTGGGTATCTGAATTACATTCTTGCAAAACTCTTTCAGGCCATATATACGTAATACACACAAGCAAATAAAAAAATCTCATTAACATAAACAAAAGATGACTTTATATCTGATAGCAGCAATAATCAACTCACACTAACACAGACTCAATCATCTTATTTTAAAACATGTGAAAATGCACTTCTGAGTTGGTTTCTTGTGGCTGATTTCACAAACCATTCCGGAAACTCACTGGGATTCTTCCAATCCTTTCCTCCTGCGCCTATCAGAAGCTATTACAAAAGCCATGGATTCCTTCCCAAATTTTAGCATCAGTGAAGTCCTGATTTTTAGTCTTGTGTTCAAAATTAAAATATAGCATCTACACACATGAAAACTGTATAACACATACCAAAATAATGAACATACCACAAATTCCTCAACATAAAAATTTCAGAAAAATGTCTTTCATGCAATAATTATAAAACACTCCAAAGAGTTTAATTTAAATATTTGACTTGAAATAACTAAGGCTTTTTTTTTTTTTAAGTTTCTTGATGGCTAAGTCTTAAGTTTTACGAACAAAAGAAACTATTTGGTTCTGCTTTATTCTAATCTGTATAACTGTTCAGAAGGCTTGTAATTCATTGTAATCACTGTCAGGTAGACAGATTGTCACTTGGTGATTTTCTACAGTTGGACACACTTGACTACTTATTAAAATCACATTTGCAGTAAGTTCCTACCCCTCTTCCTTGTGCCTCTTACAACTTTTCACGCCCTTCTCAAATTTCAGCTATGAGTTCTCCTCCCACCAGAAGTAAGTTAAAGAACACTGTTGCACTCTGCTAACCAGGGTGAAATAGAGGCATTCAGGGCACTGTCTCTGGCGTAAGGAACATAGTCAAAAAAGGTCACCACAGGCCAAAAAGAAAATTGCCTCCTTACTAGATTCCGTACCGTGAGTAAGTGGTCTCCTGTCATGTTTCTTTCCTGCCTTCTCTGAGTGAATTGGACTTTAAACACACACACACACACACACAACCTCACACTCACACAGGAGTCACAGTCAGCAGGCCTTAAGTAGAATCTCCTAGCTCTCAGTGACAACATTTTAATGATAAAAGGAAAAACTTAAAATGCAAAGTAGCAAAAGGAGACTTTTAATAAATTGGGGAAACATAAGCATCATATTTCTATATCCAATGAAATTCAAATAAAAGTGAACTCTTTCAGCAAAATTTATATCCATCAGAATCACAAAGCCACTACCCTAAATTACAACTTAAACATTAGAAATAACATTTGCATAATATCAGCATTAGTTGAGCAGGTTTCACTTCAATTTTCAGAAACCATAGATTGAACATTATTGTGCCTATTTGCTCTTGAAGTCTTTGAAATTTGATGTGTCCCAGCTATGTTAAGTATAAACAACACACACATAAATCATCAAAGAAGTAGTATTTGTCTAAATTATTGATTATGTAACTGAAAATTACATGACTCATTTGTTCAATTTTATAAAGGCACAATGTCAATTTTTCACTGAGGCATCAATGGATGAAAAATGATTCTATTTTTAAAACATCACTACATAAATCAATTAAAGAACCATCACTTAGATTTCAACATTGAACATTTTTTTTAACATACCTAAATTGTTTAGAATATATTTTATCTTTGGGTTTTTCCAATGACCAATTTAATTAATAGTAGTAGTAACAATCAAGAAATATATCCAGGAGCATTTTCTGAAGAAATCAGAGCTTATTTTAATGAATATCTACTGCAAATTCAATCAGCCTGTTTAAAATTGAGAGTTTTCAACTAAATTTTTTGGATAGGTGAGTGCATTATTCACAGAGACTAGTCAATGGTTTCATAAGAACAGGAGAGAGCAGGAGCGATAAAACAAAGCTAACTACCCCAACTCCATGCTCAAAGGACAGTAAAATTCATTTTTTCCCTTATTTTCTCTATCATATATAACAAAGGCAGAAACATTCACAGATGTAAGCAACAACCATTACGCCATGTCAACCTCAAAACATGGAAACTAAATAGTCAAAGCAAACAAAGTAAAGCAAAACTGAAATAAAGTCCCAGTAGTTAAACTGAACTGTTTCAAATAGACAGGAATCAACTCACATGTATAAAGACTTAGAACAAACATCTGTTTAAAATGTGACTCTAGTCCCCAACATTCAATAGATACACAAAAATTTAAGAGGAGATGTTAGTGTGGTCTTTCAGGAGGGTCGCTATAAAGTTTATAAAACTACACTGGCATAAACTCCATGGCTACTCTAATGAGGAAGCCTCCCTCATTTAAGCTAAAAGTCTTAAACATTTTATATTACAGCATTCCTTCCATATTTCACTATTCCTTTAGCATGCTAAATTTCTCCTAAGATGTAGTGAGCTCATCTCAAACACACATGGAAACTTCTTCAGTTATCTTAAACAAGATGAAATGATCAACTTCATTACTTAGCATGCTACAAGTAAAGAAATAAGATTTCTGGCAACATTTATAATGATGTTCCCAAATCAATTCCAATATCCAACACTTCACAAGACAAAGCATACATGGAATTGCTAATTAACTCCAGTTTGATCACACGGTCTAGTGGAAGATCAAGAGGACAGACAGGAGTGAAAGTGAGTTTCATCGTTTTATTTCATCCCACCTTATTTTATGTACTTTTGTAATTACAAACACAATTTCATTTGCAGATCTATGTCCATAAGGTATAAATTATGGGGTCTGAATCAGAACCCTCAAAAGTTTGTCATTTTACTCAGCATAAGTACTTGCTAAGACTTAAACAGACTACAGAGGTCTCCAGGCCTTCTTTTCTTAGAAGTTTATAAGTACGAATACTAATAAACAAGAGTTCATTTATCATTCAATCAACAAATGATGCTTAGATCAGGGAAGCCTAAAACAGACAGCTGATACCAAATATGAAGAGCCAAAGAGGAAATCTTGCTAAAGGAATGAAATCAGCAGAGAAATGTAGTTATCAAGAAAATCCTCAAATAGATAAACTTTTAACATGCCCAAACAAAGCCTGTTTGACCCCAAAAGAAGTCCTGCTAACACTGAAGATTTATCCAAGTTAATTTTCGTATTAATTGTTAGTAATAAGGGAAATGGAAAACAGGGGCAAATTTTACATCTTTTCAAATCTCTTGTGGTTGGAGCAAAAAAAAAAAAAAAAGTCAGCTGAAAGTACTCAGGTCTGCATATTAACCTGCCAATACATCAAGCCACATGTGACCACAGAGGTCAGGGGCCAGGGCAGAAGCCTTTGACCTCTGAGACTATCCAGTTGGGTCTTCAGGCAATGCTCTATAGGAGATCATTTTACACAGATTTATCAATCTTATTTTTCAAGTACAGCATTCTATCTGTTTCGTTTGAAAGACAGTAGGTTCTCATCCTCCAGGGAAATGAAACCCAAAGTGTTTTTATCTATAAACAACAGCTACCTGTGGTTCAAATGGACAAACATTACTGCCCATTCATCTTTTCTGAAATACATACTTCGTGTTTTATTCTCATCCTTTTCGCGGCGAAGGTGTGCACATGTCACTGTTGCAATGTCCTAGGTGCAACAGTGAGATGAGGTCATGACAACCAATCAGAAGTCACTAGTGAAGCGTTAAAGTAAACATAGCTGTTGGAGCCGCGGCTCTGCTTGAAAAATGCCCCCTCCATTATTTCAGCAATTTTCTCAAGACGTGACCTGGGACTGAAATGCCTGAAATGTTACTTGACTCTGTTTTGTGCTTCTTCTCAACATGCACTTAGGTATTAGCATTCTAATATTTTGCAAAGTGTTCTTTATGACCATACTTCAAGTTGCAGCTTCCTGAGTTCTAAGCCTATGTTTCATGTATTAAAATATCATAATATGGACCAGCATAGATTATCCCAGTTAAGTTTCCAACTTCAAATAGCTCATCAAGTTAGTCAGTAAAAGAAAACATGCCACAAAAAGTTTCAGAGGACCACCTGTTGTCTATTATTTTTACATAGCACTTACTCATAAATCATAACACAGGGTAATTAATCAAGCTGTCAAAGAGAAGGTCAAAGGTTATTTGGTAGAGTCAGAAGGTCATGCATGGGCTGATAGAGGTCAGGGTCACACTGCATTCCTCATT